CTGAGCAGGGAGCCCGACATGGGACTCGATCCCAGGACTCCAGGATCATGACCCGAGCCGAAGGCAGTCGCTTAACCAACTGAGCCACCCAGGCGCCCCTCCCTATACTTATTTTTTAAAGCAAAAGAAAGATTTCAGTGCACTTTAGTGTAGAGGTTGTATTTGCTTATGGTGAATTACAGCAAGTTATTGGCTCACTGCAAGATACGGGAGTGTAGCCGCCACGTTAAGGATATTCATCCAATTTACAAATATTATATAGGTTTTCTGAGTATTGTTAGTTTTACTTTTACAATTAGGAAATATAGACCCTCATAACTAACATTGGGGAGATACATGCAAAGTGAAATCTGATGATCACATTTCAAGTGCAGGGCCTGCTCAATTCACATTGTCTGAGGGTAGTATAACATAGACTAACAAAATGAAGACTGTGTAAGAAAAGTTAAGGAACATGGTTAGAGTGAGAAAGTTTACCATAAACCTAACTTAGATTTCCAGAAGGAAAGCGAGAACAGCAAAAGGGTAACAGTTTGAAGAGATGGTGGCTGAGAATTTCAGGCATTGATGAAGGATCAGAATCTTTTGATTCAGGAAGTCCAGTGAAACCCATGCCAGATAGATAAAAGCAAATCCATGTCTAGAATCACATAATGAAAAATGAAAAGCACTGAGAACAAAGAGAACATATTGCAAGGAGCCAGAGGGATAGAAAAGCCATATTACTTAAAAAAGACCAATATGAAGACCAACAAGACAGTTCCCAAATCAACAGTGGGTGGAAGCCAAAGACAATGAAAAGAATATCTTCATGCTTCCGAGAGAATATATAGTGTAAACCAAGAATGATATATCCAATAAAACCTAATTTTTAAGAATAAGTATGAAATGAAAACATTTTCATCCAAACAAAAATTGAGATGTTTACTCTAACTAGACTGTACTAAATAAACACCTAAAGGATATACTTTGGGGACAACTGGGTGACCAGTCAGGTAAGCATCTGATTCTTGATTTCAGCTCAGGTCGTGATCTCAGGGTCGTGAGATCGAGCCCCACGTTGGGATACACACTCAGAGGAGAGTCTGAGGATTCTCTCCCTCTGCCCCTTTTCCCCTTTCTCTCACTCTCTCTCTCTAAAATAAATAAATCTTTTTTAAAAAAGATATACTTTGGGACAAAGGAAAAATTACCAAAGAAAGAGGGTCTGAGATGCAAGAAAGAATAACAAGCAGGGAAAATGCCAAATTTGGGTAAAGAGAAACGCTGACTATAATCAACAGTGTTAATGCCCTGTTTGTGCTATAAAATTAAGAAGAAATAAAATACTAGAAGCGAGTAAGTCAATAAGGAATGAGGAAAAACAGTCTAAGGTCCTAGGCATATTCTAGAAAAGATTTAAGACATCCGCATTAGACCTGCATTGTCCAGTGTATCCTCTGTTAGCCACTTGTGGTCATTTAAATTTTAATTAACATCAAATTTTAAAAACTTACAACTCAGTTTCTCAGTTGCACTGGCCATGTTTGAAGTGCTCGATAGCTATGTGTGACTGGTGGCTCCCTTATTGGTCAGCACTGATCAGCTCAGGAAGTTCTGTTGGACGGTGCTGCTTTAGACAGGAAGTAGAGTATCCATGTTAAAGTATCTCGTGTAACCACTGAAACAGAGACACTAAACTGGGGGTTATATTGCACGCCTAGAGGAGTATCAGGAAGTATTGAGATTATTTTGGTTTGTCACAGCCAAACCTAACCATCCTGCAATACAAGGTTCAGTTCCCCACCAGAGGAATGCTCTTGTCCAGATCTAGTGATAGAATAGAAGAGGCATCAGTGGGAATAAAACAGATCATTGAATGAGCCAATTTACCAGAAATACATAATTTCAATGTGTATGTGTCTAATCCTACGACTCCATGTATATTAGAATAAGTGGACACAATTACAAAGAGAAATTGACAAATTCACTATTATGGTAGAAATCTTTGAAAATGACTACCAGTAATTGGTCAAGTAAATTTAAATAAAGTAATGATAGAGAATATTGGACGACATGAACAAATGGAAAGCTATCCCATGCTCATGGATTGGAAGAACCAATATTGTTAAAATATCCATACTACCCAAAGCAATTTACAGATTTACTGCAATCCCCATAAAAATTCCAACAACAGTTTTCACAGAACTAGAACAAATAATCCTAAAATTTGCATGGAACCACAAAACATCCCAGAGAGCCAAAGTGGTCTTCAGAAAGAAGAACAAAGCTAGAGATAATACAATCTCAGATTCAAGATGTACTACAAATCTGTAGTGATCAAAACAGAATGGTACTGGCACAAAAATAGACACATAGATCAATGGAATAGGATAGAGTCCAGAAATAAACCCACACTTTTATGGTCAGTCTATGACAAAGGAGGCAAGAATATACAATAGGGAAAAGACAGTCTCTTCAACAAATAGTGCTGAGAAAACTGGAGAGCTACATGCAGAAGAATGAAACTGGACCATTTTCTTACACCACACACAAAAATTAACTCAAAATGGATTAAAGGCCTACATGTGAGACCTGAAACCATAGAACTCCTACAAGAAAGCTTAGGCAGTAATTTCCTTGATCAGCCATAGAAACATTTTTCTAGATATGTCTCCTCAGGCAAGAGAAACAAAAGCAAAATTAAACTTTTGGGATTACACCAGAATAAAAAGCTTTTGCACAGGAAAGGAAACCCACCAACAAAACAAAAAAACAACTTACTGAATAGGAA